ATCTGTCGCACTTCAGTCACAAATAATAACTCCGAAGGTAAGTGGAACGCTCCACAACTGTGAGTATCTCTCACTGGATTGTAAGAGGCGCGTTCAGCGACTGCATGTCCAGGAGCATGACCTTGCAATTTGTGGGTGCAAAGTGCATACCAAAGGAGGGGATGACTTTGGTCTGTTCACTTGCGCTTTCTCCCCTTCGAAGAAGAGAACATCACCGTCTGCATATTCCAGATCGACAGGATTTTCGTCACAGGCTATTATAACTCCGTGGTTTTGGAGACCCTACATAGTTCGTCTCATCAGTTCATCGATCACAAAGTTAAACAGGAGTGGAGAGAGTGGGCACCCCTGACGGACATCACTTTGTGCACGGAAGCTTTTGAAGAGCTCGCCGTATACTCTCACACTTCCGGAAGTCTGAGAATACAAAGAGCTTATAATGTTCACGAACGTCCGAGGCATTTTTTGGTGAGAAAGCGTGTCCAGCAGGACAGACCGGTCAACCGATTCAAAAGCGCCTTGGAAATTCAGGAACACCAGAACTGTACATATGGCCCTGTTCTAGCATCTGACGGAGTGTGAAGATTTGGTCAACGCAACCTCTACCAGACAGGAATCCCGCCTGCTGATCTCAAATCAGTGTCTCACGAGCCACCGTAAGGCGACGAAACACAAATGACGCCAGCAGTTTCGTTACAACCGGGGATCAAGCTGACCCCCTTTGGTTACTACAATCATTACGAGTCATTATTTTGAATACGGGAGTGTCTCTTGTACCCGAATGTAAGCAAACATATCGGACAAGCACTGACTGAGGATTTCACTCCCATCTTTGAACAATGTGGGTTGGAGTTCACCCAGAATCAGGACTTTGGTGGTGCTTGGGAGAACATATGCAGTCATAAACCTCCGAGGCCGTAGGGCGTCCCACATTCACCGTCCAGGATTCTACGTCAACTGTGGGTTCCTGATGAGTGGCAGCTGTTGGCCACCACAACTGCCGTTCGAGGTCGAGGCATTCTACCTTATTCAAGATAGTCACTCTCTTGTGATCCTTGATGGTTTCGCTCACAGAATGTTTAACCAGCACTATGCAAATAAGTGGCAATCTCGTCCCACTATGAGTTGGAGTGTGATGGTGGAGCATCTGGAAGAGACTCTAGAAGGTGATTCTGGAAAGTTCGTCTAGAATCCGGATCTGCCAGTCTCTCAGTTGCCAAGCGTTTTACCGCACTTTACGCGGAGAAGCGACCCCGGACGAACTCGTGGTCAGATTCCACAACTGTGTTCCAAAACTAGCGGTAGTCAGTCATTGAAATGCGCCATCTGTAGCTGATGGGCATGTGATCGATTTCAGTTCCTGACCGGCACGCCGTTGGAGGACACCATATGGCTATTTTGGATTTCGGAATTTAGTACTACATTGTCCGTACGTTCGGTGTCCAATCCATGTCGATCACCTAGCTGAGTCTCGGACGCGCTAAGCCTGTCCACTTGCGCATTCAACTTACGACAAGCACAAGGATGTCTGAGCTTCTGACTCGCTGCAACAGGGCTTTCAGTGTCGTTAAACCTCTCTTTGACGGTGTTGTAGCTACAGTCTAATGGGGCATAAGAAGACACGACAAACAGACATCGACAAACTTCCCCGCTTGTGGCCCTCTTTCACAGACGATCCCAGGCGAACTGCGCAGAGGCGACTACCAACAGGTATCTAGTCATGCAAGGGCAATTTCCCTCGGTGACTTAGGAGGATACAAACCCCTGCACATCTCGCCGTGGGGACAATAGCTTAATGGGTCGCTGGGGCTGTGCAAACCATCACAGTGTGGTAAGTTCCAGTCTCTTCGTGACGGACTCTGGCATCTCGACTAATCCTGTTTAGGCTCAGCCAACCTGGCAATATCTTAGTCCGCGGGCTTCCTTCGGGAGGTGTGGCCTCCAAGTACCGAATAGTTATTACACCTGGACAATTTTTATTGCCACATAGAGAAACACGAATTTGTCGGAGCATCGTTTACACGTAGCCCCTATGAAGAGTAGACCTTGAACTCATTAGAATGCGCAACCATTGCTCCTGATGACCGTAGACTATTCAATCAGTCGCAGAATTTCAAACGTATTTTGCAACGAATGAATTAATTCTGTTGGAAAATGTGAACAGCCGGAAAACAATTACGGGAATGTTGAAAGAATATTCACATACCTGACAGTGCCCAAGTTCGTCCCCATACTTTCGAGACGAGTACCCAGAGAGGGCAGGTTTTTGCTATTCTCACTTGACTCTAAACAAGCTCTATCACGGTGTTCCTTAGATCAATATCCGTTCCGTTATTCTTTTGAAAACTGTTTGAACTCTTTTAACGAATTTTGGGTGAGGCAAGTGGCAAATGTTTTTCGACGCGTATCCAGCAAGGCAAAGGAAGAGTAACGCCAGCAAAGTAAATTAGCGACAGTGGCCTTTTTTAGTGGACACCTGAAAGGATGCGGAACACCAAGGTGAGGAAAAGCTGAATACTACTCTCCAGTCTGCCACCTCTTAAATAGAGATGTGTTGCCTAAACAGACCGTCGAAGGGAAAAACGAGTTGGCACTCTCAACGCCCCGTTTTGGACTCCGCTTCCTCTGAAATAATGGGAAGAGACAGGCACATAAAAATAATTGCGTATTTAGAGATGCTACAAACTCGCCACCTGGTTTACTCAAATTTACAGTAAATTTCAATATTTGGGCAGAAAAAAACAAAGCAGATGCTATTTGGTTTCTCATCAATATAATGTACAGCAGTTTGGGTGTGGTTAGTTGACGTAATCTGATTGTTATAGGTAGATGGTAGATACGCAAACAGATATATTCACTAATACCTGTCTGGTTGAAGGGATATCTGTATAGTTCTATCGCCAAGTTGGTCAGTGATGAAGTAATTGCAAAGTAGGGCGACTAAAACCCAAATGAGTGAAAAATACTGCATGAACTTGAGTCGTAACAGTCTCAACGCATGTGACGTAATGAATCGAGAACGGACCAACCAAATGTCTACACAAGCAAGTACGGACAGGCAGCAAAATTTTGATGTAAGTTCTTTACGAATAAGTTGATTGAGTAGAAAAACGGTAAACAAAAAGATAAAAAAAATGCCACGTTTAGTTGTGGACGTGGAGATAAAACTTGTCCATGAATTGAATTTATCGAGATGAAATTTCTCGTTAGGTAGACCGAATGAAATGATGCAGAGCACAAACTTACGATAATAGAAAGAAGGAAGTTTCCCAAAACTCAAGAAGGCTGTTTAACACGAACAATACACAGAGACAGGAGGGATAAACTTAATACCCGGTTGTTAGGAGGTTAGCGTCAAGGAATACATAAGTACATTTGAAAAAATCTCTTTTTGGTCCCGCATAAAAGCAGCAAGAATTAAATGGGTGCATTATTACAGCGCAGGTGAAAAGGTAAATTCTTGGATTGATTCTGAAGGAGGAATACGGCGGCTTGAGGAAACTGTGTCCAAACAGTCACTGTGTGAATGACGAGAAATAATGGAGACAAAGATATCGACACGTTTCAAATGTTTAGCCTATGAAGGCGATCTCTTTTCGCATGGACGAAAAGATCACTGATTAGCAGTATGATTTGGAAGACGTGAAGGCTACTGTGATTCAAACGTTTGGTGTTTGAAACCAGCCGTATGGGGAAGTCGGCAAAAAGGCTTTCGTAAAAGAAGACACCTGAAGCTCTTTGAAATTATCGGCGAAACCTCGATGAAAATCCATCGAGCTATGGAGTATATTTGTCTCCGCAAAATAAAGAGTGCTGAAGCTCATCTTACAAGCGAATTAATGAGGTCAGAAAAGGAAGAAAATCGAAGATCAGTGTCATAGGGTGCCGCCTGCTTTGAGATTTTCAGTAAAGCTGAATAAAAAGGGATCGGGCGATAATTTGCACTTGTTTTGGAAACGAGCTCAATATATTTTCGTAAAGAAATCTACTCACAAGGTTGCTGAAAACTCTTCGACAGCCCACGACTGGTTTTGTCCTTCTGGGAGCCCATCAGGTAGGCACAATTCCTGAGTTTCCGTCAACCTTATGTTCTGATTGGACCCAATATAAATGATATGTAGCAATGATACATTATCTATATTATTGTTACACCCCATTCGTCAGTGCAAAAATTCAGGACGTATGGCAGAAAAGCCCAAAAAGCTTGTCCTCAGTAGGGATACAAGCAGGCGTATTCCATAGCCTGGAGTTATCAAGGTATCATTATATCATGTGGAACGGGAGTGGGGCTGATAAATTTGGCGGTTCAATGGAAGCAGATGAAAATTCTGTGTACGGGACAATCGACATAAGACAGCGCGTGAGATTTTGTCCCACGAACGAAGTAGACATATTTTGGGGAACCATATCTCAGTCGTGAATTTATATTCTAATTTCTCTACGGCCTGGCATGCGTGCGCACTGGATGCATTTACAACTACAAGTGTCAACACTGGTGAACATCAGACATCCCGAGTGGAAGTCATAGGGTTAGCTGCAGGCATAAAAGCAAGCGCGGAAACTTTATAAACAAAACACTTGTGTCGATAGGAGATTGGGAAGTTAATCAGTGTCAAGCTACTAAACAACAAAGATTATTCGTTGAGGATTAGTTTCTACGATTATGAAGTTGGCAGAAGTTCCATTAAGCACACGAATTTCAATCTGATACGAATTGGGAAAGTTTGTGAGTATCGACCAACCGAGATCCCGTTTCCGGTTAGGTCATGAAATCAGAAGAAGAATCCGACGCCTGGTATATCCTGTGATTTTTTTACCTTGATTTTTGCCGCTGAAATTTATAAACATGTGTTCGTTCTCTGGTGTTTTAAATCGCCGCTGGAATTGCTATCCAGCATACGGACGCACGAGGCACGGAAGAGAATACCTTGATTCGCTGAAATTTATAAACATGTGTTCGTTCTCTGGTGTTTTAAATCGCCGCTGGAATTGCTATCCAGCATACGGACGCACGGCACGAGGAAGAGAATTTCTGGAAGCATGGTACTCGACGGCAAATTCGATCAACCGGTGCATCGAACTGGACCCAATTTACGCACCCCTACGTGCAAAAGACCAACAACTCAACCGGAAAACTCAAGGAAGACCGAATATTGGATTCACAAACAACGAAACAAGGAACTCCTTGGAGGCAAATCAATAATGGTCACAACCCAGGACTGGAAGGGACAAAGGTCAATCTAGCTTCGACCAGATTACGACGGAGGGGATGCCAAGCTCAAAGGTCACGTTGGCATCGGCGAATGGGGATACAGGACAACGGAGCAACCAATGGAATCACCCGACCGAACAACTAATCGCGAACAAAGGTCATCCCCTGCTAGCAGCACGTATATTAACACACGCACAACACTACCCAACGCACAACCACCAACCCACCGCTACGCACTACTACGCTCCACAATAACGCACTGATGATATCACCTCGATTGGTGATGAAACGTTTGCAATCAAATTGCCCAGCTCAGCGAACAAGCCAACGACCACCAGTCCTAGAGATGCCAGCAAGATGGGTTTCTTTCTGATTTATTCATCCGACTTGAGCATTTAAATCACCGGCACTTCTTGCTGACCAAATCAGTCACGACGATTATCGACAGAAGCCGAATTTCTCAGTCTCAGAGATAGTAGCTGTTGGAACGTACGGTGAAACAGCAAATAAACACTGTTGACTGCTCTGAAACGCCCTGATGTTAATTCAGTAAGTCAACAGAAAAGTGCAAAGACAACTCTTTACTAGAATCCGGTTCCACTCAGTATAACTTCCACATTGTGGAGACCACTAACCATTGAATCAGGAGCACCAGAAAGACAAAGATTAAAAGTTAGAGCAGTTGTAAGAGTATGGTCGAACTGGGGTCTTGTACGTGTGTTTCGGAGGCATAGAGTACGGATACGGAACAGATACCCGATACTTAAAAAGGAATCATTTTGGTTTGCTTGCTGAGTAAAGGTGTACATAGGGAACAACGGTTAGATCAAAAAGACAGATAGAAAGATGTGGAGAACGGCTGGTGAACGAAGGACAACCAAATAACTTAAACCAACAGACTGATCATGCCTGATGAATTGATCTTCTCGCTTCAACATGCTCGCTGTTCAAGTCTCATTTGATAGAGCTCACTCAGATTGGACAACCATGCTCTTCACGAAGTGTGAACTAGTTTATTCCGATTCCCATTGATTTGCTCTGGGCCCTTCCACTTTCCCCTACCTGGATCCTGGCTTCCCACTTCATACTTTCTTGCACTTCGGCCCATCCTTGACGTTTTTCTTGGTAGTTTCCTTGTCTTTTCTTGTCATCATTCAAATCGCACTGAAGAATTTACACTGCTTTCAGACATTCTTCAGCGGTACGCATAAACAAGCTTGAGTCAACCTACTTACCATTCATCAGTAGGTAAAACGCCAAGTTGTGGCTACCACACGAATAAAATAACAAACTAAACTGTTAGCGAAATACACTCATTTGCAAACAAATTTGGTTTTGCGAGAAACTCACCTGGAACCCAGCTGACT